CATCGTTTTTCTTAGCATACTTTGAACAGGAATATATGGCAAGATAATTCGAAGAAACTTTTTGAGTTCTTCTGTTCCGAACCAGAGTCGGTAATATATTTTACTATAATTCCCATATTTACGATCTCTTTGAATGGGTCCCACATGTGTGTAAACATTCCAAACAACTTCTAAATAATGAGCTTACCAAGTCACATAACATGGTTTTTTTCTCTCTGCCTTTTTTGTACGAGGAATTGTGCGAGTTCATGGTGATGAATAATATGTCAAGGATCCTCTGCATCTACCCCTTTCCTTTTTGACGGTCCAAGTTTCGTCGAACGAACTCAGTCGAGTGCAAAAGGATTGAAGGATAAACATTTTCTTAAATGATTGATCTATTATTTTGATGTCTCATTTCTTCCCTCGAGTGAAAACTGACAGAATGACGGATTGAGTAAACGAACGAAAACTAATGAGCTTATGTCATATGGACTGACTATACAGATCCGACTGGGCACCGACTTCTCGTGCCCTTGCATTGCCCATTCCCCATACAACGAGGAACGAACAAGTGTATGCGAGTGGAACGTACGAGTAGTCGTTGCAAAGATCGAACGAAGTTATTATTTCCCTCCGGAAAAGAGGTGTTTTAGGTTCGTGGGTGTTGGGTTTGTGATTGTTGGTACCCATTTCCCGCCTTATTCTTTGTTATTGCATTTCAACAAGTTGATTGTCATCTCGTGGACGACCGTGACAATGACACCCCATTGGCCTAGTACTCTCTGCAACGATTGTCGCCACCTTGAGTGCTACCAGAAAAAAAAGATTCCACTATCAGACACGTGGTGAGGACGGGTTCAAGGAAAGCACGATTAGACTGTCGCCTTCCACACCGGATTCCGAACTATGTGGTGAGCGATTGCGGAATTCAATTTGAAAGCGTTATCCCACTTGTATATCCCCACCTTTCCGTTTACAAAGTCATTGAGTAGCCCGCATGGAAGTTTAGAGATAATTTTTGGATTAGATAGATGTTGATACGCCAGAAAAAAACTGAGTTTTTTTAAAATATATTAATTAACTTTATTAGGTTAATAATCAGTTCACAAAATTGTGTGCACACTATGTTTTTACCTTTGAAGGTTAATTAATATTGAATGAGAAACACACAATGGTAAAACGTTGCTTCAATAGTAATAACTTTAACTTTAGGTAACAAATAATTAAGCAAATCATATCTACAATGTTCGAACAAACGTTGGATGAATGTTGATCTCATTGTTGGTTCAACAACGATTTCGTCAAAACGGACATTTTATATTTTTTGAACGAAATTGAAATTGTCATTTTTGAGATGATTGAAGTGCAAAAACCATTACAAATGGGCGTTCTGATGTGAGGGAAAAGGAGTAAGGTATAAGGGGTAAGGTGTAAGGGGTAAGGTGTAAGGGGTAAGGTGTAAGGGGTAAGGTGTAAGGTGTAGGGGGGTAAGGTGTAAGGTGTATGGGGTAAGGTGTAAGGTGTAAGGTACCATGCAAGGGCAAGTGACACAGTGCACCGAGGAATAATTAACACCTTATATGCGTTGTTTTTTGTCAAGCGTCATCTCGTGCCAACCACGTCCGCCCCCTTCGCAATCATACTATAGAATATCACATACGCACTACTCACGAGCCACTAGGTCCAATGTCATCCGACGACGTATCGCGGGTATGTCAACTGCGGTGAAATAGAAAGGCGGAAGTTGGCCCCGTGCCAAAAGTGACGTGTACGTGAGTACAAAGACCCCGCATTCGTTCGTGTCATGTTGCTTTGGAATGCCCTCTATATTCCATATGTGATTGAATGGTCTCGTGTCCACCTCTTTGCCTTGCACTTTCGATCGTTCGAATAAAAACTTTGCAAACCCGCCGGTCACTTTTAACGCGAACTCCTTGTCGGGGTCGAGGGGGTCGTAAAATTCGAATTTCCTCCTCCTTAAGTCAGCCACGACCAAGGTCCAGTGGTCCTGGTGTGCGATATGGAAAGGAGCAATAATCAAATCCATGTCACTTATAATTACATCCTGGTACCAGCGTTCTACCTCTCGGCCTTTATATCTCATGTCATTATCGAAAAGTTTGACAAAAAAAAACGAGCTCAACACTGATACTCTGGGAATGCGACCGTTTCCTTCTCTAATGACTATCTCATTATCCGCGTCGCATTCTACGTGCTGTATTCTACAGCAGTTGTCTAGTGCTACGAGGTTGAGATAAAAGTTGATCACGTTGTCGTTTAACCACTGTTGTTCGACGACGAGTAAAAGAAAATCGCTGCGAGTGAGTTGCAACACTTCGTTATTGTGCGCATCTTGTGTGCTGACATCAGGGTACCTATTCCCGTATTCGCGAATTATATGCGCTAGTACTGCCATCTCCCTCTCCGATAAAGACGAAGTTGCGAGATGCATTGTCCATCCTCTTTTGCACAATCTTGTATCCGTTGTTGTCATTTGTACTGCACACCACAGACGATGAGGAAGAGGACATTCACACGGGCGGACGGGGCAAGTATTGTGAGTGCATGGCCAAACGCTTTGTGAGAGCTGATGCATGCAAGGCATGTTTTCATTATTTCTCTAATATTTTACTTGTATGAACGTCATTCACATATGCAGTAATTCATTCCTCGCATCGATCGACCACCTTAAACACACGTCCATGTCGCAACGGGAGAGAGAGAGAGAGAGAGAGAGAGAGAGAGAGAGAGAGAGAGAGAGAGATGTACAATACCACACATACGCTCCCACCACGATTTGTTACTGGACGTCGAGACGGGCAGTCAATCGAAACATCTCAGGTCTATTAAAAATTTGAGGTGAAAAAAATATATATACATAAATGGTAAAACGATGTAGAATTGGTGCCTACGGAGACAAATACGAATTCTGTTTTAAACAAAACAACGAACCAAGTCAATTACACAATTTCATTCAACAAGGCAGAGGTGAAGTTGTAATTATATCACTGGATTCTCCCCTCCAATTGCACCCCTCCCGCCTAACTCATCCTCACCCTTTTAATCAATATCAGCGGTTAAGGTGTCGAGGTTGCGAGAACGGTGCATTCCCTCCACATCCCCTCCCTTCCCGCCATCCCCACCGGCCCCTCCCTGTGGTGTCAGCGGTGATTGTGCATCACCTTTGCCAGTGCATAAAGACGGTTGCAACTGACTCTCCGCCACGCTCGACCCAACATCATATTCTGACTCGATCTCGGATCTGTCTTGCATTGCAACATTTGTTATCAATAAACTCCCGTACATGGCACCTGCATCTGGCGGCAACGTCGTTGACACCTCGATGGGCGGGGACGATTGTGCCGTGGCGACCGAGATGGATTTTTTCAATATTTGCGGCATTGACGTCATGTCAACCTCTTGAGGCCCGACAACAGTAGTCTCGTCATCTCCCCTGAGCCCTGCTTGCGCGGCCACGGAGGCCGGCTCAGCCGAAGGCATGAAATCATGAGAGCAGCTCCCCTCCAAGGTTCTGGCGGTTTGATCAACCTTCCAGTTGATTGACCCGCGTGAGGGACTCGAGCGCAAGGCATAAAATTTGTTGCTGTACTCCAGTTGCCGATTGTCGCGCAAGACATGAAACAATTTTTCGGTCTTGGCTTTGATGGCGGTCTGGCTCTGCCCTGGATTCTCGACGCGCACGAGATGCAGGATCGCGAGCTCCGTCGTTTTCAACCAGATGTCCTTTGACATCCGGCGAAAAGTCTTCCAACCGCTTGTGTATTTCACCGCCATCTTCCACTCTCCATCTTGGATGCACGGCTGTAAAACGCCCTCATGCCATATGATTACATGGCCCCATTGATCCTCGCCTGTGTGGGTGTATTTGCCCTCCAAGAAATAAATCGTGTTCGGGTCAGCACAGTAGCCTGGAGGAATTGCATCGCCTGGTGCGAGCGTCGACGCCTCGCCTGGTATCTCAATGTCGTCTTCTTCATTGCCACCGCATCTTCCATTGTCTTGCAATGCAGCAATCTCCAACGGGGCTACCATTGAGGCAACGCTTGGGGCGGCCACCGGGATGGACCCTTCGTGCGAATGGACAGTTCCGTCATCATGAGCTTGCACCATTCCTCCGCGCGGAACCTCAGCACATGTGTCCTTGCCCAGTTCGAGGTCGGAGTCCGAAGAATCTTCCTCGTTGTCGACGGGGTTAAAGCCATTGCCCGATTTCGCGAGCTCCGTGTAGTCCTTGGACGTCAATTGGTCTTTGCGAAGATCAAACTTGAGGTTCTCGCATCGAGCAACAAAAGTCTCAAAGGCGTCAGTGAGAGCACCGTGATAATGTTTGAGGGTCTCTGTTGCCTTTGCTTTCCTGTATATATATTTCCCGTCAAGCCATCCTTGTGACATATCGCAGAACAGGTACTCCCACACCTTCAGTCTCTGCCCCAACTTGTGGAACATGTCCCTATTTGGGCGATGTTTGCACCGCTGTTTCTTGACGTGGCAGTTGAATCTGTCGTCCTTGACAAGTATATCGATGAACTTTGTCAAGTATGCAATGTCCTTTGCCGACTCGTCACAGGCAATGACATTATTCCCTGCCAGTAAGAATTCCCACACAAGACTCGCGTGCGCCCTACCCAATAAAAGCACACCTTCCGCCTCCCCGACGAATGACCCGCACAGCGAACGCAACTTGTCAGGCTCTCGCTCCCAGATGGAATGCACCACATTTTCATCGCCCTCTATGCCACCGTGTTTCCCCAGACACTTCCCGAACTTGTCCTCCACAACATGCAGGTTTGTGAGGTCATTGACAAGGCGGGGTGCGACCGTGACCTTTCTGAGATCCCCTCCCTCCGCGTGCAGGACAATGGCCATCATGTCTCGACTCGCCGTAGCGATATTGCCATACCTCGTGATGTCAGTCGATGGTCTGCCCACCTGTTTCCAGGTCCCGAGGATGAGTTCGATGTTCTCCCACTGGAATAAGCAACGCAGAACATCACTTTGCACCTTCTGCGGTGCGAAGACAAAAAGAACCCAGTTAACGCCACAACACTTAGTCATCATAGAGTGCAGAGCGTCGAACTCTTGAGAGGTCCATGTCGTGCAGAAGTTAGCGGGGGTTGTCAAGGATGACGGCCCTGCAGGTCATTTTTTGCGCCGCAGCGACGATGTCGTCTGGCGCAGCCAGCACTTCCTTCAATGGCATGCACACCGGTAGCAATGTTGTTTGTTTTTTAAGTTTATCCCACACAATATGACGTGCGTTGGAGGCGACCCGTTTGACCTCCGCCCGGAGCAGATCGAGCTTATCGATTGAGGTGTATACAAACACCTTAAAGTGGAATGGAGCCTCCTTATACATTGGTGCCATAGGGCCCAAGCTTGATCCTTGCCTTGCCTCCTCCACCTCTCCAAGTCGTCGAGGGACCGTCTTCATTTTGCTTACATGCAGCTTGTCCCGTTCCTTCTCCCATTCAGCTGCACACAGACCATTCGGCCCAAACCTGTCTTCGAGGTCCTTGTATGATATGAAGAAGGCATCATTCCACTCATCGTCCGCCCTTCCCTCGGCGCGAAAAACAACGTAGTTGAACATACGGACCATGTACCGTTCCTTGCGCATGATGTCGAGGAGGCACTCTGTATTCACTCTCAGAGGCATGACCTTGACGTTCGTCGCGACCACCTTCCCTTTCATGAGGAGGAGCAGTGCAACTTCCCTCTCGCGGCACATCAAATCCCCAAAATTTTTGAAGTAGGAAGGACAGAGATCCTTCCACGTCACGGTGGAGCCTTTGGGACCATCTCTCACGTATATGCAATGGTATAATGTTCTTTGCCCCTTCGTCTCGTCGGTGTACGGGCCTGGCTGGCGCCCCTCCATCCTACCCGGCATGTCAAGCGGTATTTTACGATCGCCAACTGGCAGCTTCCCCTCGTTGAACATCACCAAGAACTTCTCGACCAGTGGCCACACAGCCTCGATGAATGTGGCGAGGTTCATGTAGCCACGGAGTTTATTGTTGCAATCCTTACTGTACTCATTCTCGAGCGCTTGCTTCACGAACGCCTTGTCGCATGCCTTCCCAATGGAGGCCCTTAAGAAATTCTGCCACTTCTTTTGGTGTGCAACGGCGACCGCATCCTTATCGCTGACCTTGCTTTTCGGGGCCTCGATTCGATGGTTATCGATCCACCATTGCCTCATATCACGGACAGCATCCTCGAAGGACAACATCATGGCCCGATTTTCGCGCGTGTTGTCGAAGGCGGAGACATTGAAATACCCTCGCGTATGCTCATCTCCAAAATAGACGACCCGCACCTTAGAGTACGCGCGAAGGCCATAGACGTCGACTGCCAGAGAGCCTTTTTTTACCAATGTCTTCATGGCCTCAACCGTATGCTGACCACAGACAGCATACCAATCGAACTCCGAGAAGTCTTTTTGGAAGAATTCGGTCGGAGTTATCCGCCTAGCCTGCCCGCCAACGATGTCGTTGCGGTCAACCGGCGCAAGCACGAGGTCAGGCCTATCCCATGCCCCCGGTTCCGTGGTGATGGAACTCTCGATGGCATTCACGATGCCTCGCACAATGTTCGCAGACAAAGAGTGGTGGTTGAAAAGAATATTCCCGCGGGGAATGCGTTTGATTTTCATGACGTCCACAAGAACAAGAAGGACTTTTTGCTTAGCAAAACCCCGCTCATCGTACTCGAGGAAGAAACAACGCGTCATGTCGATGCGCACATCGTGTTGAAGCGGTTCATCACCATCGTCGGGCATGCGAGGGCCCACTTCCTTGCCCTCATCCCCTGAGTCCCGCAGTTCTTCTGCCCTCACTATCTGCTTACCTTTTCTTGCGCCACCACGACCGCCGCCACGACCGCCAGATCTTCCCCCCTGGCTGCTCTTTCGAGGAGGTCTCGCCTCCTGGGATGCCACCAGAGCTCCACGAGCCTCATTAACAGCGTCAGTCCTCGCTTGTCTCTTGTGAGCGGAAGCAGAAGGAGAAGTTTCTCTTGTCCTTTTCCTCGACTTTGATCCTCCGTGCTCCTGCGAGTCATGCCCACCCTGACTCCCGCCTTGCGAATGCCATATCGCAGGGGACGACAAGGGCCGACCAACAGCCGCTCCCACAGAACTGGTGGGGATGTCGTCAGGTCCATGCTCCGACGTGACACCGACGTCGTCATCGCCAAGCATGTTTTGGTCCTGCATGTTCTCATCCCCGACATCCATATACTCGTCATCACCGTCGTCTTCACGTGGACCGCAGCTTCCCCCATCTTCTTCCTCCTCGTTTTGCTCAGTGAGGGCAGTCGCACCTTCCTAGGCACTGTCACGCGGAGCATTGCGTCCGTACAGATTTCTGTCATCGCACTCCGTAGCCTCGCTGGAACATTGAGCGATATCGTGACCTCTCCTCACCGTGGGCAAGGGCGAGGGCGACGCGGCTGGGAAAGGCGGAGCTGGACAAGCAGCCAACTGTTTCCTCTTCCCAACCAGCGCGGATGGTGTCTGTCGCGATTTCCTCGAGCTCATGACAAAGGGCACAAAAGGGCAGTCGGCTTGCTGGTCCAGAGGCAGCCTCGAGAAGGCTTCCCTGTACTCCTTAACAACGCCTAGCAGTTGGTCCGTCGGGCTGCTGAATTTCACCAAGGGTTTGGTGAGCTCCAAGGAACTTTCAACGAAAGGAAGGCAGCCAGTGACGCGGTAGCCGTTCGTTCTACTGAGGAACTGTTCCGCAGTCAGCATGCGAAGCTCGGTGCCGTCCCCGCGCACGTCAAACGCTTTCATGGAGAAAGCCTTGATGCCGTAGCCTTGAAAGAGCCGCAAGTCAAGGCCGACCTTCTTGTCTTCCTTGACCCAATTTGTGCCATTCTTGTCGAAAACTGACGTAAGAAAGAAGGTCCTGAATGACCTCCCGTCGTAGGTATTCCTGGCGCTCTCAGATTTCTCAACACCCGCACAGCAGAACCACGTCGCACCATTGTCGTCGCTCAAGAAGACGACAGCCCCACACCCAGGCCTATGCAGACCACCAACCCAGTCCAGAGCCCATGGTTTGTTGTTGTAGATTTTTGACCTGCCATATGCCCGAGAGGACGAAGCAGCAGGTTGACCTAGAGGGCACAAACAAAGGAAATGCACAAGCAAAGAACAAATGAGGAACAAACAGAAGTGCTTCGCATGTGGAGTCGACCCTCGTTTCTGGAAAGGGGTCCGGCGTTTCCTAGACGCCCGCCCCCCCGACCCTCGTTTCTGAAAGGGGGTCCGGCGTTCCCAGAACGCCCGCCCCCCTTGGGGCATTTATGAAAGGGGGTCATTTGCTCCCAGAATGCCCGACCCCCCACCCAATCTGAAAAGGGGTCTGGCGTTCCCTAGACGCCCGACACCCCGACACCCCGACCCTCGTTCCCTAGACGTCCGGCATTCCACGACCGTAGCGTGCGCGGGTCTGGCGTCCCCTAAATAGCAGACCCCACCAGCGTGCCTGTCGGCACGATAGTTGGCCGGACCCCTCCCTCGCCTGCGTCCTCGACGGAACCCCGCGGCATTTCATGTTCGTCCCTCCCACCCATGTCGGTGCTGCCAGAGAGTAAGAGGCCCCCTCCCTCCCAGTCGTCGGCAACAACACCAAGGGGATCCGACATTCCGGGAACGCCGGACCCCCTTTGAGCTGCGGGGGAAGAAGTGGGTCCGTCCGCACCCCTATGTGCGGCGGGGGAGGACGGGAACGCTGGCCCCCCTTTGTGGCGCGGGGGAGGACGGGGGTCCGAGATCCGATCCGACGATGGGCATAGCACAAAGGGGGTCCGGCGTTCCCGGAACGCCGGACCCCCTTTGTGCTGTGGAGGATGAAGGGGGTCCGCCCCATCCCCTCGATGACCACAACACCAAGCCCCCTCGGTGCCCCTCGCTCCCCCGAAGCGCGAAGGGGGTCCGGCTTTCCCGGAACGCCGGACCCCCTCTGCACTGCGGGGGGGGGAACAAGGCGAGACGCACCCCTCGCTCCCCCGAAGCGCGAAGGGGGTCCGGCGTTCCGGGAACGCCGGACCCCCTTCGCACTGCAGCTGGGGGGGGGGG